TTGTTGGGGGTTGGGGTGGTCTTTTGGAGCCAATGAATCCTTAAAGTTCAACACTAGTATCACAATCAAGCTGTAATACTCCTGAAAGGCTGCTTCACAGCGTGCGAATCGATAGTATATCTCCTGAGACTTTTCGACTCCATTAGACACAGGCCAGATGTTATCGCTAGCCTTTCTCGGGCTTCTCGGGAAATCACTCGGTCCATCGCGGTCTTATCCCGTGCTTAGCTCGTTCATTTCGCTTGAGCATCTCAGCCTTCGCCTGTCTTCACTTCCGGCAAGACTTGTCTACGTCATAGCTCTTCCCGCCTTGTGGGGATACTACAGAATGTTAGTAGCAGTTGACAGAACTGGAGTTTTTGTTTGTTTTGTTTTAATTCTGTTTTGAGTTAGGCTATCAGACCTACAGTTGTTACGAGTGTTTGTCTATAGTTATTTGTTTTTAGTTGTTGTTCATTTTTATTTTTAGTTGTTTATTTGCAGTTGTTTCGATTGTTTGTAGTGAATTGTTTAAAATTGGAACACATGTTTGTTTGTAAATATTAGTTAGTGGTTGTTACACTTATTTGCCTTTAGTTATTTTTTGCAGTTGCTACGATTGCTTGTTTGTAGTAATTTGATTGTTTGCAGTCGTATGACCTGTTTGCTCTTTGCCAACGTACATTAGAATTAGTTGTGTTGATTTACTCTTGAGTAGTGCTTTTGGGGGGGGGGGGAGAGGTCATGTTCCTTGTTATTGAAAGCTAGGAATCGTAGAAATCGACTCCGAACACAATTACCTGGTACTTTCTAATTATGTGATTTCTTTCAGTGGCTACCTGGTAGGCTCCGAACATCCTGAGGATTTTGGACAACCTTGATTTCGGAACACTACGAAGCATCAACTTTTATTTTTCAAAATTAAATTTTAAAATTAAAGAAAGTTTTAATGATTAAAAAAACTGGTAAACGTTGGTTTACTTAAAAAGGAGTCGGAACTTTTCTTTAGCAGCATTAATCGTGGGAATCGGTTCAGGAATCGATTCTTCGCCCAGCTCTACTTATGAGGAATAGAACTGAGTAGTAGTAGTAGCA